GCAATTTTCTACAACAATGTTGATGAGAGACACTCAGTTCACATCTGTGACCCGTACTGTTTACAAATACATGCACTGAAGCAAAGACCCTGAGATGGGGTAAGGTTGGTACAGGAATTCTACAAAAATAATGAAGCATGCTTACCTGGCATGCTAGGTCCTCATTGGTTACACATAGCACTTTCAAATTGTTCAATATCCTAGAAAACACGTAACCATATTTATGGAGCCGGTCCTATAATTGCCCCTTTGTATTTGTGCATTTGGGGGGAAATTACCGTCTCTATAATAGCACTTGCATTTATGCAGGAAATTGGTAGACAAAGTTGATATAACAAAGCTTGTGTTTCTATCACAAATGTTTAGTTTCACCTCAAGCTGGCTTGTTTGTTTGTCGTGATGGGTTTTCTTTAGAAATGCTTAGAAAGAGATGTGTGACTCCACTACAGAGAGGTGTGTCCATGCCTGAGTGCGCTGGAGTAAGGTGAGAGCCGAAAAGGGGAGGGGAGAGCTGGCTCCTCAGGTGTCTCAGGGTGAGAAAGGAGACAGGGATCTGTGGAACTCTGGCCCTTTCCACAGCAGCCACCGATGATCATGGCTCACCACGCTCCCCGCTGAGTGTGCATCAGGAAAGTCTCGGGTTCCTAGCCCCAGGGGCCTTTGCTCCCCGTTCCTTTAGGGAGAAGTATTTCATGGTTAAGTGGAAACTGTTCAGGATGCCTCAACAACTAAGAGCCGTCACGCCTAAGGCCTCAACACCACGCGCTCTGCTCTTGACCGTGGGTCCTGCTTTGACACTGCTGCTGGCGAAGCGCCACTTTGGTGGACAGAGAACGGAAGGTCTTGAGAACCGAGAAGGTCACTGTGGCTGTTTGTGGGTGGGAGTTTTCAGGAGTCACGTGCTATTTGGGAACTCATCAGAAGTCACCTCACATCGGGGTAGATGTTCCTCTTGGGAGTCTGATATCTTGACTTCAAAGAATACGAATTTCTCTTCAAAAAATGGCTCTGTGGCTGGGTCTGTCGCTCAGTGTTAGAGTGCGGGCCTCCCCTGTGGAAGGCCTGGTATTATCCCCAGAACTGCAAAAGTAAAACCCTGCCTGACATCTCCTCTTGCCCTCACCACAGCATCAATGTCTTCTCCCTTATTCAAGACTCCTCCAAGTGACCCTTGCACTCACTCCCCACAGCTGTTCTCCTCTCAGGTTTCCTAAGGTCAATCCAATGACAGCTTTAGCGTGATTTCTCCTGTGGCAGGTTCTCAGTTGGTCTCACCCAATAACTTCTCCACCCCTACATGGAGTCCCCTGCCTCTGCTCAGTGGTGGGCAGACTGCCAGATATCCACAGACAGTCAGCAGCAAGCTCAGTGAGGTTCTTCCTTGGAGGCTTTTCTGAAACTTTCAGGTGCTCCACTCCACAGCCATGGGTGCAGGAAAAGCTCACGTTCACCACGTTGCTCAGGTATGGAGACGGCCTCTGCTCTGGCACACTACTGTCCTCCTGGGACACTGTGTCCTCAATACCATCAAAGATGAATCCACAGAATTCCTTGGCTTCTGCTCACTTACCTTAGTATATTTGATTTTTTTTTGGTCTCTTGAAAGCTTTATCTTGCTTTTACATATTGCTGTTTTGGGGGGCTGTCAGTATAAACATTGACCCTTTTGAAATAACTCCACTGATATCTTTTATATACTATTCCCATTTTTTAAAGTGGATGAGGTTAACATGGTGAAGAACGTCTTCATATAGTCATCCATTTAAATAATACATCTTGCAAATTGTAAATTGTTATGTAAATACTTAATATAGTCTAAGTTTCATTCAATGTGAAAATATTGAAGCCTTTATATATAGAATGTTTTAAAAAGAAAACTAACACGGAGCTCCACCTCCACCTGTAAAATGATGAAATCCCGTCCAGTGTGCTGAATATCTGGGCACAGCTCATGGTCCTGCCTTGTGTTAGTTTTTGTGATTGTTTCTGTATTAAAAGCAATAAGCCGTAATTGTACCTCAAAGTTGTGTAATGTGAAGGAACAGAAACTGAAATTATTTGGATGGGATTGAAAACGACATTAATGAAATGGTGAGCAGGGAGTAACAGCTAAGTCTGTATTTTTGGCCATCAGCAGTGATGAAAGAGAATATATTAGAAGCTTCTTTGAAAATTTTAAGAAACAAAAATTATAGTCCAGCAAAGAGCTGTCTGAGCTGGGGGAACACCCTGGGTGTTGGCAGTGGTGCAAAGTTACAGTTGGGTATTCGTCCCCTAAAGGCCCCTGTGTTAAGGCTTGGTCTTCGTGATGTGGCACTACAGGGAGGCGTTGGGGCCTTTTAGCTGTGGGACATAGTGGAAGGAAGTTGGGTCCCTGGGCACTGCCCTTGAAGAGGATGTTGGGACGCCAGCCCCTCTTCTTGCCCTCTTTTCACATCCTGGCTGCCATGAGTGGACAGGCCTCCTCCGCCCTGCTCTCCTCTATGATGTCCTGTGCTGTCACTGGCTGAGAGCAACAGGCCCAGTGACCTTGGAATGATATTCTCAAACCATGATCCACAATGAACCTCACGTAGGTGTTTGTTACAGCAACAGAAAGCTGACTGTGAGAATGCCTTAGCTAGTATCTTAGAAAGTGTCATCTACACCCACACAGAGGAAATGTCTTCAAATGATCGAAGCAAGACTCTTGAAATGATTACTTAAAATGATGACTTTGTAATTTAAAGGAGCCCTGGACATTTTTAGAGAGAGGCCAGGCCCAAGCAATGCAGCTGAGCAGACACAGTGCAGAGAGCTGAGAGGGGCAAACATGGCCTCAGGGGTCAGGAATCAGCCGCCCTGAGTCCTTCCCTCCTGCAGAGTTGGTCTTCAAGGACGTGCCCTCTTGGGATCAGAGCATTAGTAAAATAGGTGATCTAATGAGGACGTTTGGATGAGCCTCCAGAGGAACAGAGACTATAGACGTCAGTATGGAACCACCTCACTGAACAGGAAGCAGCACCTGAGCCTCCTCCTGAGATGAGCCTTCCTGTCCAGGACCCTCTGACTCCTAGGTCTGCCTGCATTTCCTGAAGACCCATCTTCCAGCTTCAATATCCAGGTGAGGCTTTTGGACAGCATTCCTATTTAAACTAACCCGGCATCTAACATCCATATTTAATGTTTTGGAAGTGTAATCCATGCGTCTCGTTCATTCATTGCTGAAGTCATTTGAGTTCCTATTCATGTCATCACATGTCCTCGCCTCATGTGTATATGCCCGGCCCAGGTCTCTGATCTCCACCCTCCTCCATCTCACAGTGCATACTCCACGTTCCCTTCTTATTCCTCCACCCGACCATCAATTCCAGCATTTGTTGCATCACAGTAAAAGCTTCCCTGATTTTTGCAAGTATGGTGTCAACCATATTTTCTCTGTCCTCGCTCATCAGTTACTCTGACCCACTCTTCCTTCTGAGGAATGAAGAGGGTGCTGAGCCACAGTTCAGGACTGTAAACCCGGAAACACAAAGGAAATATCAGAATGGGGGACCCACGTGGCGATAGTGTGCAGGGTGCTTTTGTTGGATACATTTCATCACGAAACAGGACCGTGGTATTTTTACAGATTCATTGGAGGATAATTCAGTAAGATTTGTATAAATGCAAGGTGTTCAATGTGATGGTTGGATCCATGTGTGCACTCCCAAATGATTTCCACAAGCAAAGCAACTAACACATTCAACAGGCAGCTGGTTTCTGTTCAGGTGGTGATTTCCCCCTCCACAGCTTTTCTAGAGCCTGGATCACATTCAGAGAGTGTGCTTTCCATCCTGCACCTGATGGTAAATGCCGTCAGACCCAGTTCTGTCCCACTCTGCAGACGAAGGCCATTGCCCCACCGTGACACACCAGGTAGGTCCCAGGTTGTCCTGTGAGGATGTGTGGACTTGTGTGTTAGGAGAACCCCAAAATTGTTTCTATATGCATCACTTTTGTTAGGAGCATATACATTTACTTTTATCTCATTTTAATGTTTTAAAAATTTCTTATGTTGTCTATTAACTTAAGAAAGACCTCCTTTAGGATAAGGTAGAGAATCTCCTGGTTTCCCTTAGAATTAGTTGCTAACGGGGCTGACTTACATTCCTGGGGTGGTGTCTTCTGAGTTTCGAGTGTAGAGGCAACATTTCCTAATCTTTGCTCAGGTCCACCAGGAAGGATGCCGTCCACCTTCTGTAACTATTTTTGTGGGTAGAACTGGACATATATTGAAGGCAAGGGAAAGATCAAAGGCTTTAGATAGGGGAAAGAATAAAATTACAAATGAAATGATGAGATCTGAGTGGCCAATTAGCAATGTTAGTCCTGTACTATCCAGAGGCATTGACAGATTGCTTGAGAATCAACTCAACAGTCAGAATATCTGAGCCCCAATCCAGGCTTGGCCTAACCTGCACTGTGGATCTGACATCCGTGATATAAACTCACCTTCCCTGATTGTCCTCCTGGGTCAATCAGGACGATAATAAAGCACACGAAATCGACAAGATGATTTTGAAGCAAGCCCAAATTAGGGGGCCTTTGCTTTAGAAAACAGATTTCCAGATTTTCAATGACTTTTAGAGTAAAGGCATGAAAAATTCGAATTCAAAAGTAATATCTCATACTTTATTTCATTTGTAGCACTTAGCACAGTGCCTGAAACAGCATTGGTGTCTAGTAACCACTTATTTCAATGAAAAAAGTGGAGGGGGAGGGGGAGTGTGTAAAGAAATGGGAAAAAAAAATCAGAGTATTCACTTGGGTTCACGGTAACAATGAGGAAGCTTTTGTTTTTAAGTTTTGTTCTCAAACTACATCAAACATCCCAAGGGCTTACTGAAGCACAAACTGCTTGTGCTTATCCTCAGGGTGATTCAGCAGATAACTGGGGCTGGGGACGAGGGATGTGCATTTCTGTCATCTTCCCAAGTGCTGCTGCTGTCCGTACTGTTGAGATGTCTTCTCTCATATTTTCCATAAGATTCACCAGAAACATGGAACCCGTAAACTACACAGCTATTTCAGAATTCCTTCTCCTGGGACTGACAGAGGACCTGGCTCTGCAGCCTCTCATCTTCAGCCTGTTCCTGTCCATGTACCTGGTCACCGTCCTGGGGAACCTGCTCATCATCCTGGCTGTCAGCTCTGACTCCCGCCTGCACACCCCCATGTATGCCTTTCTGTGCAGTCTGTCCTTTAATGACATCTGTTTAAGCACAAGCACAGTCCCCAAGATGCTGGGGAACCTCCAGACGCAGGATCCGAGCATCACCTACACAGGATGTCTCTGCCAGATGTTTTTTGTCTTAGTTTTTGCATATTTGGAGAATTTTCTCCTTGCAGTGATGGCCTATGACCGCTATGTGGCCATTTGTCACCCCCTGAGGTACACAGTCATCATGCTGCCCCACTTCTGTGTCCTGCTGGTTCTGGTCTCCGTGTCCATCAGCACTGTGGACGCCCTCCTCCACACTCTGATGGTGCTGCGGCTGTCCTTCTGCACAGACCTGGGGATCCCCCACTTCTTCTGTGAACTCGCTCAGGTCGTCAAGCTGGCCTGTTCTGACACCTCAGTTGATAATGTCCTCATCTATGTTGCAACTTGCATATTTGGTGGCGTTCCTCTCTCTGGGATCATTTTCTCTTATGTTCACATTGTGTCCTCTGTCTTGAGAATGCCATCAGCCGAAGGAAAGCATAAAGCCTTTTCCACCTGTGGGTCTCACCTGTCAGTTGTGGCCTTATTCTACGGGACAGGTGCAGGGTTGTACATGAGTTCTGCATTTACTGACTCCCCCAGGAATTCTGCTGTGGCTTCGGTGATGTACACTGTGGTCCCTCAGATGCTGAACCCCTTCATCTACAGCCTGAGGAACAGGGACTTGAACGAGGCTTTGAGGAGTCTCATCGGAAGGATAACTTCTTTTCTGTGACGTGATGACTTCTATTTCCACGCCTTCATGGTCTTTCTCCATGGTCTAGGGTCTCAAGTAAGTCAAAATGACAGGATTCCCATTGGGCCCAAATGTGTCAAACTTGTCTTTTTTTTTTTTTTAAAGAGAGAGAGAGAGAGAGAGAGAGAGAGAGAGAGAGAGAGAGAATTTTACTATTTATTTTTTTTTTTAGTTTTCGGCGGACACAACATCTTTGTTTGTATGTGGTGCTGAGGATCGAACCCGGGCCGCACGCACGCCAGGCGAGCGCGCTACCGCTTGAGCCACATCCCCAGCCCTCAAACTTGTCTTAATGCATATTTCTCAAAGGGTGAGGTCAATAATCATTATGACTTGTCTTGAACCCTCACTTTTTCAATTTTTGTCTAACTTTGTGAGATTTGTCTCATGATTCCAATGAACAGAACACACTTCGTTTGCTAATGTTTCACAGAAACGATGCCTGAAGCCCTGGGCTGCTGGTTTTTGACAATTTCGATGTGGTGCCCTCCAAGAAAAAGGCAAACTGTAGAAGATGATCAGCCAGGAATCTACTGAATCTTACCTGTGGTCATATGTGGCGAATTGGCTCCAGCAATTCTTACGGTTGAGGTCACATGAATCACCTTCAGATTTAGTCTCATGTGAGGCAAAACGCTGCCCATTCTCAGTCTAAGAAGCAACTAGTGAGAGCTTTTACTGATCCACAGCAACCTTGAGATAACAATAGCATCCTCAACATTCAGTGCCTTCTTCTGTGAACTTGGCATAATTAGATGCTATCAGTGGTTTGAGATGATTTTGACATAGCCAAGACTCATCAGTGAAGTGACCCTCGGTCCCAATAGGAAAAGAGAAGGCTAATAGCAAAATGCTCTATCAATTGAGTTACCTTTCCTCATAAGGATGTCTGAAGTATGGAATGTTCTGGAAGTGTAGGGCTCTCTTCAGTCCTCCTTGAGGTGGCATCTTCCTAGGACTGGTTCCCTTCCAGGTCACCAGGTGGTAGCATCACCTGAACAAGAGGCTATGAGACAGAAAATGGAGAGTACTTCCTGAGGTCCACACATAAGTCATTTCCCCCATGAACCAACTAGGCTGATTGAAACTCTCCAGTAGACGGGATGATGGCCTCAAACTGGTTCCAGAGCCTGTCCCACTGATCTGTGATTGACTTATATGATAATCAAGTGAATGTTGTGTGTTTGGGAGAAAAGGATTTGTGGGGGAGGAGTTTTTCTTGATTATTTGGGTGGGCTTTGAGTGTAATCACTCATCTCACTATGAAATAGAGCAAAGTGGAGAGGAAGAAGAGAAAAGGGGGCACATAACACTGGAGATACAAAGGGATTGGTGCAGCCAGTAGCTGATCATTTTGCCCTACAAAAAATTCATTTTTATAAGATTATAGTGTGTTGTAATCACTGCTTTAGAGATCCCTATACTAAAAAGAATGCTTCCTTTTGACCTTGTTAAAGTTGAAATCTGATAAATGAATTCCATGCCTCATGGTTGCTATCACCCTGCTTTGCATAATCAATCATGTTGGGTTTCATGGTTATCCATTCATTTTCAAAATCCCTATTTATGTATTGTGACATTAAAAATCAGAGACACTGTGGTGTTGAAATATTAGCATATATTTTTCTGCTCCTGTGAATCAGGTTGTTTTAATCTTCTCTATGGCTTATAAAGGAAATAAAAAATTTATAAACCTGGGATGAACCTATTGGCTTTAACAGTAACTACTCACCTTTGGTTAGTTCCAAAGGTTTTTTCAAAGTGTTGCTCCATTTTACTTACCAAGCAGATATTCCTGCCCTTCCACATCATTCCGCAAATATTTTTACTTAATCTGACAACCTAAATGGTGTAGAGAATCAGATGTGACTGCGAGCTTGAAAACGTAATGCTTACTGTCCTTGATGGGGCTGGCCTGCAAATGGGAGGTTCCTTCAAGGTTTAGATAAGGTAACAAGCAGACATGCTTGAAAACAAGGTGTCTGCTGTCCTTGGGAGGACTTGCCCACAAACGGGATGTTCTGCTAAGTGGGCTACCAGGGTGCTGAGAAAATTTTTTATCTGTTCTTAACCAAGGGCAGAGGTCAGTATGCTCCAAGCCAAGAGTAGATTAAGCCATGAGAAGTGAGTCACTTCTGATTAGAAAGGAAGACTTCTGTATGCTATGTTTAATTAGCTGAAAGACCTGACTTATTGCTGTTGGAAGGCTGCCTTCTTTGTTCACAATACTATAAAAAAACTGCTGTATACAAAAAAAGGGGCTTTTTTCTTTGGCTTCTTCGGCTTCTTCTTTCTTCCTCATGGTGACCTGCGAGTAAGTTATTTGCAACAAAATGGTGTACAGTATAATTTAAATAAGTTAAATTTCTCTTACACAGGGAATCAGTGTCACTTCTGATAGAACTGGACTTGTTTTCTGTCTTGTGAAAACTGTGTACTATGTTTCCATTGAGCTTTTTATCTTTTTAAAAAATTAATTCCTGATAGTTCTTTAAGTAATCTGTAATAGCAGTCCTCTTCATTTTTCTCTTTATATATCACAATTTATTCTTTAGACCTGTCTCCTTTATCATATGTGTTAGTGTAGTTAGTAGATACACAAAGGTGTTTTGATTTAATTTGTCATTTTTTTGTTCATATATTTACTTTTTAAAAAAATTATGTTTTAAATTAGTTTTATATGACAGTAGAATGCATTTATGCACTTTGATGTGTCATACATAGATGGGATATCATTTCTCATTTTTCTGAGTGTACATGTTGGTCATGCAGTCACATATATACAAACAGTAACAAGGTCTGTTTTATTCTACTGTCTTTCCTATCCCCAATTTCCCTCCCCTCCCTGCCCATCACTTCCCTCTTTATTTTATTTTTCTGACAGTATTTTTCTGGACCTCACTGCTCAGGAGGTGTTGGTACTGAAACGCCTACTTTGAGAACACAGTAGTCGTCTTGCCTTTCCCACTTGAAGCTGAAGCCATGGAAATTTACTTTTCCCTTTGGTGTGAGAAGGGAATGACATTCATTTTCATTACTGAGCACCCTTCATCAGACAGCCCAGCCTTCACTGTAACTCCAATTCAGCATGAAGAAGCGCCGTGCTCAGGTGTTCATGTCTCCTGGACTCTCTTTTCTAAAAAGGGGCTCTGCTGGATCTCTCCCTGCATAACCTCACATCCTTGATGACTGCAGCTAACAGTCAGCAAAGCTGAGTTCCCTATGGCAACAAACAATCCCTAGAGATTTTTAGTTACAATCACAGAGGTAACTTGTCCTCATATCAAAGTATTTTCTGTTAATTTGCATTTTTGGCAACAATATTGATAATTAAGACTCTTAATTTACATCTATGATCTCTAATTATTACTTGCAATGTTTTCATGTGCTACGACTCTGAAGTTGCAAAAGTGCAGGGGTAAAATTCTAAAAAGGAAGTGAAATGTCTATAATAGTCCATTCTGACTATGGACAATATATTAGAAGCTTTTGCTTATGGAATGCAAAAGAAGTTCCAATTTCACAGAGCCATACATAGGCTCAGCCTTAAAAGGTGGGTATTTTTATGGTTCTTTCAGTACCCAATCAGTTACTAGACAATTAGATATTAAGACAAATAGTCTCCTAAGTATCTCTCCCAAATGTCCATTTGGCATCCTCGTATAAATGCCTAATAGACATTTTAAAAAATTAATGATTTTAAGATATTTAGTCTTAAAATCAGCATTTATATGGGAATCATGGTGTTGACCTTCCAGTGTGCTGTGCTCACACAATTTCTGGTCCTCTTTGATGGCAATTCCATTCTTCCAGATGCTGAGCAGTTTCTTCACTGAGCATCAGCCCCCAGTCCTCTCTTTCTTGAATGCCCTAAGCACCATCATTGGGAAACCCCATTGTCCACACTGTTGAAATGTACCTGCATTCAGCGAAAGGCCTCATCTCCACAACTGCTGCTCTCTCTCCGTCCCTCGGGTGCGCCCCCTCAGGGTTTGTGCAGGAGGCCAAAAGAGTTGGCTAATGAGGAGCTTTGGATATTGAAGCCCCAAGGGCCACGGAGATGACAGTCTGCCTGTGACCACCCACTCCACGCTGGCCCAGGTGAATATGTAGTCCCCTGGCCCTGGGCTCAGCCGCATCCTTTCCGCACAGGAGGCAGGTGCTGCACTGTGTCCATGTCCCTGAGAACAGAGCTTCCACCTTTCTCCTTCACTGCAGAGAAGAGCCATGTCAGTGCTCAGTGTTGGCACCAGGTAATCTGAAGCCTCCTGGTTTATGTGTCCCTGTGGGGACAGGTCTTTGTCTGTCAGTCCATCTGGGGCAGTGGTGAGGTAAAGACCTGAGGAGGAGGAGCAGAACTAGGTCACCTGCAGGGTGTCGCCCTGACTGTGCCTCCTCTGCACAGGTTTGCCACCTCTTGTGCCCCAGCACCCAGCGGCTTTCCTCCCACTAACACCTCACTCTGCCCTGAGTCCAGCGCTGCCTTCCACACCCACAGCACTCTGCTCCTGCAGTGGTTGTGATTTGTTCTCGAATTCTCTAACCTTTTCTTTCATTTACTTTACTAAGGGCAAAGGTCTGTGGCCAGCTTCTAGTAACTTTTTCCTTCCTGGCTCATAATTCCCTTATCAGACCAGGTCTTGACCAGCACTGCCTCCTGTTCATGAAAATACTGTGGAAGAGCAGGTGGAGAACACGGGCCATCCCAAGGGTGATTCAGCTTTATCTTGGCATTAACCTATGAAATGTTAAAAAACAGAGAAGCACAGCGTAACCTGAGAACTAAGCATGCATGTATGATTCAACAGTGTGGATGTCCCGCCACCCATGATCTTTTCATAAAATAACAAAATAGCAGGCTTCAGTGTAACAAAGAATCTGTGTTCCACTCCATTCTCTTTCCTTTTTCAGAGACAAAAACTGTTTTTAATTAAATTGTCCTTAACGTGTTATTTTAAATTCACTTTTTCTTTGCACTT